TTTTTTTTGTAGTCAGCTAGCACATAGATACACTTCACACAGAATTCATATGTAAGATTATACATTTGCTGCCTTTCTTATGACCTGTCATGACCAAGAAATGCTTTGGCTCAAGTGGGTTTTGGTGGGCTGTTCTGGGAGGAGTTGGAGGGCCCTTGAGATATGTTTCCTTTAAAAGTGAAATACAGAGATGGCATCCGATGAAATCAGTATTGTTATTCCTGCCAACATTTTCATTCTGCAAGTCCCATAATAACTCACTGAGGATTGATGTGTTTTGTATGTTTTAATTAAAGTTAATTTAATCTCGAACTGGTTTTGTTGCTGAACAACTAGTTCCTTAACACTGGCTGGAGACCTTGCCATTAAAAAAATGAACTATACAGCCTTCATGCATTCCAGAACTGGTGCCCAGTGTTTTGGAAGGCACAATGCCAAAAGCTTATATATTTTATTTTTTTTTAGCTTTTTATGGAGGAACCCCAGCTGTGTCTTCTCAAGCATGATGGTTGCTGGGGTTTTTTTTCACGCTCTGACCATAAATTTAGACATAAATATGCTCTAAGCAGACTAACTGGAGTTAATAATTTTATTAAGGGTAGAACTGTCTTGTAAATATACATTTGGCATACAAATAGCATGTGTAGATGAAATTGAATAAGCACGTTTGGAAACAGAGCCAGAAAAATCTCATAGAGAATGCATTGGAGAATCCATGTAGTTCATAAATGATTTGTGAAAGAGAGCATCCAGCTGAACTCCCATACATAATGATATAAGCTGATCGTGAAATGTAAGATGTAGTAAGTAAGTGTAGAGTAATGTTTCATGTTTATACAACTTTCCAGCAGAGGAGAAAGGCGCTGATGCTGCTGTGCATGCAATATTTCTGTCCTAGTGCCTATTAGAATTCTTCCAAGTTACACATGTGCTGATACAGACCTGCCTGACAGACTACTAGAAATGTGAATTCAGCTTCTGAATGACCTCTGAATCCTTTGGAGCCCAGCATTGGCTTAGTCCGAGCAGAGAAGTTGCGCAAATGTTGGGTCCCTGCACCCTGAGGGTGCCTGAGCACCATGGACAGAGATTGACAAACCCAGGAAATGTTGATTTCCTGAAGGAAGAAGAAGAAATTACTTTATCTAAAATGTTTTCAATCAGAGAGATTTGGTGAACTCTTAGTGCTGAGGTTTATGGCCAGCAGTTTGTGAAAATGGATGGATGTTCTTTTCAGAAAGTTCAGATTATCTTGATCAAGGCCTGTCATCAGTCATGGTTGGTCTTTGCTTCTCCACAGCGTTGATGTTTCTCAAAAGACTACCTCATAGTTTTCTGCTTGCCAGAATTTGTTATGGATTTCATTCTTGGTTTATTCTTACTGAGATGCAGAGGAATTTCCCTATGGAAAATGGCTCTTTAATTTTATTTTGGAGATGGTCAGATTCATCAAGTATTATGGCTGACCAGTGTATAATAGTTCATAGAATTCTCTGTATGGTAGTTTATAAAACCTCTGTGGTGTTCAGATGTGTCAAATCCAACCTGAAGATCTCCATTAAAACAAAAGAAAAATACTAGATTATTTCTTTTTCTCTCTCTCTTTCTGGGTACAGAAAGGCCAAGCTATCTTGAATAAAGAATTCAGAGATGAGTCATCCAGTGCACTTGTTTCCTCTATCTAATACCTGCATATCCTTGCTTTTGAACATCAGGGTACAAATGTCAGGGTCTGTAGATCTGCCAAGTGGCAGAATGGAACGATGCTTTCTCAAAATATCTTTGACATAGTTGTTACACTGTACACTGCTAGAGCTACATTTCAGATACTGTGAAATACTGTAAATTTGAGTAATTAATGCAGCTGAGATTCTTGATTCTCACCAGACTGAAGGAGATAGTTGCATGGGAAGGAACTGCACTGAAGCATCCCTCAAAAAAGAGAGAATGTTTGCTAACTCAACATTGTGTGCTCTCTGAAAGATTTATGGCACATTTTTCCTCAAATTAATTATGGTCTTACTACATTTTATGTTTCTTCATTTAAATTTCTGATTTGTTTATTTATTGTATTTCCAAAAGACATGGTATAGCTGTCATCAGAACATACATATATATAGCATGAGTGTATTTCCAGATGCAGAAAATTGCTAACTAGTTGACCATTCACTGATGATTCATATCTCTTTCTACGGAAAATATTTCTTTATTGCTGCAGTTCTGGCACTAGCCTAACTAGCAGTAACTATGAACTTAAACTGAGACCTTTCTCACATGGTAGGACATTTTTCTGTTTGTATCAAGCTTGTTCTTTTATAGATATCTGCATTTGACATTTACTAACAGTAGTGAAACATATCTTGCTTTTTTCAGTGTGGTGTGCCAAAGGATTGTTATGCATCTGGTACTAGTCAGAAAGAACCAGTTTTCAATGAAACTGCATCGCACAATGTTATGATAACAAAGAACCACAATATTAATGTACTGCATCTGAACTTACTGTTGATCTTTGTTTGCATTTCTTCCCATGGAATTTATATTCTTATTTGAAAACCTTAATGTCACTGCCATGGAGGATTCTCCATATTACCAGTGAAGATTATATGGGATCCTTATTTTATGATTTATTTCTTTTGAGTATTATTACTGTTTAGAATGAAAAAATTACAATAATTTTTCCTGTCTTTAGACTAGTTCTTGAGCACCACAGCCAATTATAGTTCTTGCATTGTAGCCAAGTTTAAGATGAAGATTAATGAAATGAGCTGAAATATACTACTGATTGTATCTTTTAAAATATTTGAACTTTCGGAACATTTTATGCCTTATCAGAAAGCCTGAAGTCTTTACTAATTCTGTTTTACATCTGCTCTTGCACACGATTGACATTCTTCAGTAAGGGGAGCAAAGAGCTAACACATATCTTGTGTAGACAAGGTATTTCTCAGCACTAAGTCCCTGAGTAAAGTGAAATTCGTGTTTGGATGCTGGGAGTTTGCTGGGCAGAGTAACCTTTTTATTTATACTCTTACAGGACTCATATCAGACTCCTGTCCGACAGTTCTGACTATGAGGTTTTCAGAGTTGAACAAGCCTTAAAAATCTCTTTCTTCTTTTTTTATTTTATTTTTTCCTCCCATGCTTACTTTTGTCTGGATAAGGTCATGAACTTCTCTCCTGTGCTGTTTTTATTGTCCTCAGGCACATCCTTCTGTGTTGCTCTTGGGTCAGAATCATCTTTTGAGGTTCACATTGATCATGTGAATGTGGATGTAAAACTATCATTTCAAAGATCTTTCTGGTTCATGACAATGGTGGGCTAAGAGAAAAAAGCAGAAATAATGATCAGCAGATAAGCTACTTAAAAGGAAGAAGAGCAATGTCATCCATTTCTGTCTAAAAGGCATGAAAGTTTTAAAGCAGGCATGTTTTGAAAGACCTTCTCTGCAAGTCATAATTGATAATGCTGTTTTGCTGAGAGCAGTGTGGATGAAGATGATCCATGTAAGATCCATCTCAGTAAAATCTTCACTGTGACTTTTTCCTAAGAACAGACGTATTGCCAGGCCTTGTCTGCTTTACAGGGAGATTGACATATCATTTTGGCATTTTACTTCCTCCCCCCTCCACGTGATCTTTGTAATGGACACAAATGCAAGTTCAAGTAGAAAGGTCTTGAATCAAAATGTTCAGAATTGCAACTGAAATATAATAAACAAAAACAGTCTTTACCACTCTACATATTACTAAAATCATATGCACTAATGTCTTAGGTTAAAAGTGCTTTCTGGTGCAGTTTGGAAAGTTTGATGAGAGCAATTAATCCTACTCATTTAATTTTGTTTAGAGATTTCAAATGTGCACAGAAGGCAACTACATTTTGTAGATCTGAATTGTCTCTGTCACAGGCCATGCGTGGTTGCTCTCCCAGTACACACGTATATAGAGTAGCTTGGACTGGTCACTCAGGCTGAAGGTAGATTTCAGGAAGGTGCCTTGTGTGTTACACTAGCCAGTCCTGTGTTCCCTACTGCATGACAAGATATTCAACAAGATTTATGGAGCAAATCTGGTAGACAATTTCTCCTACTCTTAGTTTCTAGGAGTAGAAGCTGGGAAATGACAGTAGAGGTTGCTGATCTGAAGCATCGTCTGGGGAGTCTCTTTTTCTACTGACTTATGAGAAGCCAAAGCAAACTTGCTTGCTGTCTTAGATATCTGAAGTTAAACAGCAAGGAAAGCTCCTGCTTTGCAGGAATGTCTCTGTTAAAAGATGATTTCTTGGCATATTCTGAGATTGTCTAAGAAAAAGATGTATGATGTCCTCCATAGCTAAGCAAAGAAGGTGATTAGTAAGTGTGTAAAGTGAAATCCTAGCCAATTTAGTTCATTCTCCATCTCAGCTTGAAAGTAGAATACTTTCCATTTCTGGACTGACAGGTTTGCATAATGAAAAAAATGTTAATGTCTAGAGAATTAAAAACCCCAGGCACCTAAAGACAATGAACTTGGCAATTATTTTTTTTTGTTTAAGAAATTAGAAGAAAGCTGACTGAAGGGGCTCCATCCAAACCAAAATTATAGGTTTTGAACTGCTTGTAAGAAATAACCATCCGACAGCCTGAGGCCCTGGCAGTCTCAAACCCAAGTTTGTGAGGGTGGGAGTGAAACAGTGCTGCCTCCTCCTGTGAGGCTAGTCCATTAAAAAAAGCTTGGAAACACTGATGGAGACAACCTGGAAACATGGTAGCTGATGCCACAGATTGTATCTGTGACCCTGGTGACCAAAACTTGAGAGAAAGTATGAGGACAATAGATGGACAACAGATGAAAAACTGTTCTTCCTGATCCTCGTGATACAATAGTTGGTATATGCTCTAGGTTTTTGTAAATGAAGGAGGTTTTTCCTGCTTTTAGTAAAATTGTAGATATTTCCTCATAAAAAATAATTGAATGCAGAACAGTTTTATCTTCATACAGTGAATTCCATTTAACTTTCTATAGGGCTGGCCTTTGCGATTCTGTCTTCAGTACACCCAGTTTTTGGTTTATATGGCTCTTTCTTCCCTGTCATTATCTATGCCATATTTGGAATGGGACATCATGTTGCGACAGGTAAGTGTCTATTTGCTAACATCATTTTTAGAAAAGAGGAATTTGAAACTGAAATTTTGTTATTGTTATAAGATCAATGGAAGGAAAATTATCTAAGACTAAACAGAAATAAGATGGTTTTATGCTTCCTTTTGCAGCTACTTTTTGGCAGTTTAAGAACTTTAAGGAGACTCATTAAGAGTATATTGGAGTTAACTCTTGCCATTATAATATAATATTGCATTGACACTTCTGTTGCAAATGTAGTTCACTAAAAGCCTTTGTATTTTAACTCTACTTTAGAAACCTGATCAGGCTAATATTTTAACAAAGGGCTCAGCCAACAAGATATATACAAACAGGGATGAAAAAGTCTACTTCTTAAACTGTAGAAAACACACATTACTTAGCTGTCTGAAACATAAACCTTGCATTTCTCAGGAAAAAATAAAGAAAAAAGCTTTCTGTCCCTGTTCCCTGCTATTGTGCTAAAGCTAGAGGTTCTCCCAATACAATTCCTGTCCACTTACAGAACAATTAGATAGGCAGCGAAATGTGCTCCCTGACATTTATGCTGGTAGTTAAGAGTTGCTCATTTAACCCCAGCAGAGCCAACAGCAGCTGCAAGAACCGAATGACTTTGATCTCCTAGTAGATTAGTGAATGTCCTGTGACTCCAAGGAACACAATCTGTAGATGAGAGTTGAAAAAAATATTCAAGAGATTGAACCATAAATTCTTTGGTGTGCAGAAGTGGGCACTCGGTGGCCTTGAAATTTGCAGGAAGGATGAGACAGGCCCAGTAGTGAAGCACTGTAGGGCTGGGTAAAGGGAAGCAGCCTCTGTGGTCATCAGAAGATTCAATCAAGGAGGTGATGTTTTCCTTGTGAAGAAGAAAAAACTCCTAAAAGCAGGAGAGATGGTTCTGGGCAATCACTTACAAAGTGAACTCTGCAGAGTCTGATTGCTTGAGTGCATGCACTGACAAATGTTTTAGTAAAGAAGTTAGCTATGTACTTTGAGCACAAATAGTCAAATTATTAAAAATAGATGAACAGCTATAAATTGTCTCAGAGCAAAAAGAAAGCTGAAAGTTTGTTTTCCCTAAAGGCACAGAAAACATTCAAACCTTCTGATTCCTGAGAAGAATCTGTGGATGCTATTAATGACTTGGTGCTGTAATGAGTGATGGCATGCACTCTGCTCATGTAATAAAGAGAAGCATTCAAAAAAAAGTGGAAATTTAGAATTTGGAAAATAATTTTCACACTCGAGTAAGGGATAGATTAGTATACTTTTCTGAACTTTTTTATTTCATTAGTTATATTAAAATATGAAGTTATATTAAAAATTAATAACTTAGTGTATTGTCAGCAGTTTGTTGGTGTAGGATTATTAGGGAGAAAAAAATCCATCATATGATCAAATGTAGGAAAGTAAATAAATATCTATCTGACAAATTCTAGCAATGAAAACATGATAAAATGAGTAAATACAAGAAGCTAAGTCTGGTATTTTGTCCTTGGGAGGGAATACTGTTCAGAGAGCAATTTGCCAGAGTCCCACAGCTCTACAGCTGCAGATTCCTGGACAGTCCCTGGTGTAGAAATCTGCTTCTTTCACAGGTGTCTATTCCAGAAATTGATCATAAGAAAAAAAAGAAACAAAACAGTTCTCTTGCAGTCATGAAAACTTTTTGAAATAGATGTGTGAGACATATGCTGTTGATTCTTTCAGTAGAAATGTCTCATGCACTTGTCCCATCAGGTGCCATTATGGTGCTATGACGTGCACCCTGAACTGGAGCTATACCACCTGCTTTTATTCCCCAAATACTCCATAATTCCTGATGTATATTGGTGACAATCTCTTCTTCTATCAGTATTATCTATAAGATCAGTGAGGCTCCCCATTTGTATACAGGCTATAAAAGTGCTCTTTGCTAGTGAAGTCAGTCGTATTAATATGAAATGGAAAATTCATTGATGGCCCAGTTCTGACAACTTTTACTCACTTCAAGTGTCTCTTCTGTGACACAGCTGATCTACTTGAAAAGGTTACTTACCTCAGCAACTAACCTCTACACCTTTTCCTTGAATGTTTTTGGTATAATTGATCCTGTAGGATGCTCTGAGACAGCTTCATCTGTCACAGTCCCATATACAGGTCTTTGATTTCAGACAGAATTTTATGTAAACTGTTTTAAAATCCAATTTTATGTAAACTATTAAAAAATTAAAAATGAGAGACCAGGTTTAAAAGAAAAAAGAGCAATCTGTAAAGCAAAATACCTACAACTACCCTAAATGTTACTTAAGAAAAATGTATTAAAGGCCCAAGTGAAATGTGTATCATGCGTCAAAAAAAATGTGATCCAAGAAAACTCTTCAAGCCTCCGTGGGAAAATTAAGGAGACTGTCAGGAGGAAGATTGTGGTGCTTGAAAAACAGAAAGCTTGACCCAATGATGTGAGCAGGAAAGTCATGAAATGTAGTAGGTCAAACACATGCAGGAAGGTTAAAGAAAGGAATTTGAAGAGTGCCAAGAAAGGATGATCAAACTGATAGTTAAGTTTTTGAAAACACATCAGAATCAGAAAGCTGGGAAAGAAACTGGTGGGATGCCTTTCTGACAAAGCTATAACAGGGACATACTGTGGCAAGACCACAGGACTGTCAAGTTACCAGTGTAATTCTACTGTCAGAAGGGTTCTGGAAGGAACCCTGGTGACTGCAGAGCTGTCTTTCACTTGTTGATTATAATAAAAAAATAAGATGACTAAAAGATATGCATAATCAGAGTTTGTTGGAGGGGAGTTAAGGCAACTCCTGTAAAGAAAAACCCTACCTCACTAACCTCCTAGAGTACTTTAGGCGTGTCAGTAAGCACACGAAAAATACTTTGAATATAAGATAACAGTATGGTCAAACAGCTACTGATAAAGTTCAATACCAAAGTTTACTAAAGAAACTACGTTGTCCTTGTGATAGAAAAAAAGTTCTTTTATTAATTATCAGTAGGTTAACGGATAAGAAGCAAAAGATAGGACTTACTGGTCATTTTTCATGGTGGAGTTGTCCCTGGTAGGTTCCCAAGGAATTCATACTGGGAGGTTTACTCTATGAAGGCCAAGGTGAAAGTAGAATTTTATTCACCAGGTCCTACAACAGTAGAAACAAGGAGAGCTCAATGAAGTTGGTGAGAGATCACTTTAAAAGACTTTTAAAGTATAAGTTAAAGAAAACACTAGAGTGGATGGGGAACTTCTGGAACCTGCTCTCAAAGGACATTAGAGAGGTGGAAAATACAAGCAGGTTCAAATCGAGATTTGATAAATTCATGAATGCTAGTCCATAAACAAAATCTACAAGGCCCAGACAAGGAGATACTTCCCTAACACAGCGATGACTGCTGGGCGATTATGAGGGGAAGGGCCTGCAGAAAGTGGCCAGGCTTGTGTGCTTTCCCTGGGTAACACCTCTGACGATTGCCACAGCTGGAGGCAGAGCACTGGATGAGATGGAACATCGGACTGACATATGTGGTGGGGCATTTCTTATACTCTTAGAGCTCTGCATGATGTGTTTGTGCTTTTCGTACACTTTTCAGCCTTTTTTGTCTATATGCCATTAAACTTGCTTTACCTTTTTCAGAAAATGAATGTTTCTCTCATAGTCTGCCTCCATTTATTAGAGTGCAGTTTGTTGAATTTTTGAACGTATGCATCAGCTAACTATAACGAATTTGGTAGTATATATACAGTGTGAAGTAATTGCCCTTAAAATTTTGATGGTGAACATTTGGGTTCCTCAGACAAAAAAATGTCTCATCACTCTCAGAGTGAGTTAAAAGCACTTCTGATAACTTGAAATCATTGTGAATTGTTGTGTTTGAATTTCTTTTGCTAATATGTCTAAATGAACATGCTCGCCATTGACATCTAATTCACATGTACAAATTGTATTCTATGTGAAGGAATGTGTGTTACATAAAAATATTACCTTAAAAATTGTTCTTAGGATAACAAGAATGTGCAAAATGGCACATTCACTCATAATGGACAAGTTTTGAAAAGGAGACCATGAGTTATGAGTCAGATACACAACTCTCGGTGACTATTATGTGGGTTTTTTTACAGGAACTTTTGCTTTAACTTCCTTAATATCTGCCAGTGCAGTTGAGCGCCTTGTTCCTTCAGTCAGCACTAATTTGACTGCAAACAATAATTCAGGAACTTTGGGCCTATCGGAGTTTGAAATGCAGAGGATTGGAGTTGCAGCAGCAGTTTCGTTCCTAGGAGGAATCATTCAGGTTGGTGGCAAATACATGTCCTTTATAATACTGCTGCATTTATATAATGCTGCATTGCGTTTGTGACAGCTATGACTTTTGTATTACTTTTTTAATCTTTTTTTTCCATTTCTCTGACTAAAACTGACCCTGTGTCTCATCTGATGTTCATGAATGATTAAATCAATGTTTTAATTTGCTGCTCCTTTGCTGAGATGTAGTAATTGTCTTTATAAATGCTCCTAGGATATTGCAATATGAAGGAAAACCACATTCAGTCAGTTCTAGTATAATATTCAGTTACTGTCAGTGCCACCTTTCCTTCTCCTTCAGAAACAAAACATGAATCAGCTCCTTGTAAGCACTGATATATTCCTCAGTTTTTCCATTATTCTTGGCCTGAAGAGAAATACTATACAATATTCAATAATTAAAAACAGAAGGGAAAAAATGTTTTAATTCTCTTCAGAGTTCACACATCCATCATTAAAGCGAAATAAATTAGTAAAACATATGTCTTCAAATGATTCTCCAAAGCTTTTAAATTTCTTCCCTTTTCTCATTCTGACTAGAAACACTGAATTCCTTTATCCATTGCCAGTTGCTTAAGTCTTCAAAGAAAGCTTCCCTCTTCCCTTGTAAATATTAAAATGGAAGATATGTTCCATCATTCAAGATTGCAACACCTCTTGTGTACCTGGCCTCCTGAAAGAGAACCAGACACTTGTACTTGGAGTTTTGGAATGCTCTACCATGCAGAGGATGTGCAAAGGAGCCCAGTATGGGATCTCTGGTGCCCCACATGCTTGGCAGGACCTAGGGCATATGTTTATGTCAGTCAGAACAGGAAATACAAAGAAGCATAGTCATTTCTGTTGCATTTTTTCATTCTTTTGCTGGTTACAGAATTATGACTTGTGGTAACAGCAGGGGGGAAACCCTATGGAAAGCACAGGGAGTAGAGCTGACACTGGTTGTGCCTGGCTGCTGCACATGCTGCTCCGTGGCACCAGTGTGTGCCACATAACACCACATCGCGCCCGGGGCGCTTGTAACAGCAGCATCCTCTGAGCTCACACAGAGCTCTTCACGTGAGAGTGCTGTGCTCACAGCCTGGCAAACTCTTATATTGTCTCCAGAGAAGCTGAGTGTTAAAGGCCAAAATGCCTTAAGCGGGAAGTTTGTGCCTGCATTTGATCTGAATTTCTTACTTAGCTGCTGCAGAGTCCCAATAGGTGTGCAAATCCACTGGACCTCTTACTCTTTCATTCCAGAAAGTTCTGCTATTTCATATGAATCACAGAATCACAGAATATTAGGGGTTGGAAGGGACCTCTGAAGATCATCTAGTCCAACCTTCATCCCAGCATACCTAACCACTACACCATAGCCTCACGTGCTAGATCTACATTTTTTTTAAACACCTCCAGGGTTTGTGACTCCACCACCTCCCTGGGCAGCCTGTTCCAGTGCCTCACCGCTCGTTCAGTAAAGAACTTCCTCCGAATATCCAATCTAAACTTACCCTGATGCAACTTGAGGCCATTTCCCCTTGTCCTGTCATTAGTAATTAGAGAGAAGAGACCAGCACCAGCCTCACTACAGCCTCCTTTTAGGTAGCTGTAGAGGGCAATAAGGTCTCCTCTCAGCCTCCTCTTCTCCAGACTAAACAAACCCAGTTCCCTCAGCCGCTCTTCATAGGGCATGTTTTCCAGACCTCTCACAAGCCTTGTTGCCCTTCTTCGCCTAATTTAGAGGCAGCAGCTGACTTATCTCAGTCTATGCTCTGTTTAAGGCTGATTGGAATGAAGACAACTAGAATATCCTCTGCTTGCATCTTCAAAGCAGGTCTGACAGGGAACTGTGCCACGTGCATGGGCTCCCCTTCCAGGCCAGCAATGTCTTTTGCATTAGTGTCCTACTAATACAGCTGGTGCTTGTAGTGCTGCCACTAGTCCTTTATGTGAATTTAATGGTTAGAGACCAGGTTGAAATACTTACTGCCTAGACGAGTGCCTTAAAGCTACTGCTCTATGATATTCAAGTGAAAGTCCGGATCAAGGCTGTGATTAAACTTTGCCATCACCCCACAGGCTGTTAAGTGTGGGATCCACATTTCATCATCATGATTCCAGTCTCCTGGCTAATAGTTGCTGTAATTCCCAGATAAGGTGACTGGGCACATATTGCTGGGGATGGTAAACTAAGACAGGGACTGCTTCTACTTATAAGATCAAACTAAAATTTAATGAATAGCCTGGAAGACATGAGATACTCTGGGACAACAAGAAGAAAATATTATGTATTTTGGGGCAACAGCTTTCTGCTGAAATATACTGAAATACAAAGTAGAATTGTCAGTGCAGATGGTTTGGTACTTCTCTAGGAAGTGAGCAGACCTGTGCTATGGTGTCTACTCATAAAATTGTGGGGTTTTAATACTGAAAAAAATCCCATCAAACAACTCAGTGCTCTAGCCAGCCACTGCTTACACAAAAACAACTGATGCTGTAACTATCCCACACCTCAGGCAGCTTCCGCAGGAGGGATGAAATGTCCCTCTCCAAAATACTTCCTTCTTAGAACGAGTAGGTAAAGACCTGAAAGTCCTTGGTCAGAAAAACAATTTGACACTATTTTTCCAGTAGCCTGGTTAAATACTTTAATTAGCAAATAGTGTAAAGGGAAACAAAAGGAAAAATGTGTAATGAGTCACAGAGGGAAGGCAAAGGGAAAAGGTGTGTTTTTGAGATGAACTCCTGTTTGCTGCTTTGTGTTTAGTGACGACCATCAGTGTGCATTTGTGTTTGTGTCTGTAAATCTCAGAGCTGTCAAGACACGAAATAAATTAGAATTTGTTTCTAATCACCAAAAGCTTATAAGATATGAAATTTGGGGCTTAACTGCTTAAGATTTTCAAGTAATTAATATTCCTGCATGCTCATGAAAGTTTTTCAGCCACTGGATTTTCAAAACTCACATAATTAGTTGCTGATGTACAGTATTGAAAGAAAAATGTGTTTCTGATTATCTGAAGAACAAGTTTACATGGTATATTATCAGTTTGGTTAATAATGAAGGAACACATTTGAATACAAAGTGAAATTTTGTAAGGGTAATATTCTTGTCCAAAGCTTTATTTCCCTATTAGGGAAAACTGCACTGCACTATTCTATATTATACACAATTATTCATGAAGTACAAATACGAATCTTTATTATACAGTGACAATCAGGAAAGTAATTCATTTTTTTTTCACAGTGGAGGCAACTTCTTGCAGGTTCATATTCTGTATCTCAAAAAATACACCTAGGCTAGATGCGCATCCTGCTCGCTACAGTTATGGTACAGCATGTTGCGTGTTAGCCCAGAAAGACCACAGAAAGAAGTCTTTTTCAGGCTCCGGAGTAAGCAAAGCTTGCTCCACACACCATCAGAAACTACCACACACTCACAGGCCACCTACAGAACTTAAGCGCTCTATTCAAAAGACAAAAAAATCTCCCAATTTTAATGTCTATTGAAACAGGTCAAAAAGAGTTTTAAGTTGGTGACTTGGGCAAGCTGAACTGCTCATGTCTGACTGTTGATTTCCAGACAGTCCATAGACATCTTCCCTTTTGCAATCTCCAATTTTAAGATAACCAATACAACATACTAAATGAGAGTCTCACAGTCTGTACTCTTTAATTCCAAAAGATACTCTCCCTATGGCTGATCTCATTTTATTAGCCCACTCAGCAAGTGATCAAGAAGAGTACCATTACTTTTTGTTTGGTTTAATGGTGAAAAAAAAGCCACACCTTCCAGAATGCGGAGTTTTTAGAGATTTAAAATTCATTATCCAAAACTGGATTCATGCAGCAGGTAACATGGTATCGACCTTTCAATTACTGGGGACAGAAAGTTTGAGATTAGTGATTTCCATAGTACCTGTTCTGTGATAAAAATTTTACTGGCCATAAAGTTAAATTAACTACAGATTGAGAATTTTAACAATAAATGGAGTCTGTTGTCATGGGAAGAAAGTATTGACCGTGGATAGGATCCAAAAGAGCTTCAATTAATGAAAATGAGGGTTTTGGTTTTTGCAATTACTCATTTCTCTTCTCCTGGTTAAATCTCCATTCTCCTCTTCTACTTGTCAGGATAAAATTATGGAAGACAGCTGCAAGAAAAGATTCCCTTCACATTATCTTTCTTCCATTCTCAACTTCAGGTTTCGGGGTTTTTTTCCATTTTTTTTTTTTTTCAGAAATCCCACCTTCCACCATTTCTAATCACTCAGTTTTATAATTTGTTTCCGTGATATTTTCTCTTTTACTATGCATTAACTCAAGGCTGCTTTTCCTCCCTTTCCTTTCTGTGTTTTTTCCTTTCTGTGTCAGCTCTTGATTTTATTCAGGTGAATTTAATCAAGATTGTATAACAGGTGAAACAAAATAGTTACTTCTTAATTAATCTTTTAACACAATGTGATGGGAAAAGCCTGTGAATATTTTTTTTTTTTTCACAGAAAGAGTAGTCAAACATTGGAACAGCCTGCCCAAGGAGGTGGTTGAGTCACCATCCCCGGATGTGTTTAAAGGTCGTTTAGATGTGCTGTTGGGAGATGTGGTTTAGGGGTGAGCTTTGTAGAATAAGGTTAATGGTTGGACTGATGATCCCAAGGGTCTCTTCCAATCTGAATGATTCTATAATTATGTAACTGAAAAATCTGCACAAAGAAACTGCAGCCATGCACCTTTCAAACCATTTTTATTACTGTGATTGTTCTCTCTCTGAAATATTCCTTCATTCCTTAGGAAGTAAATTTTGAAAAAATGAACAGTTATGGAGGTAATCCTAAAATATGTGAGAATTTTGTTCCTTTTACAGTTTAAGGAAAGCCCAGTATTAGTACAAGTAACGAAAAGAGAAAACTACTGGCCTTTTGAGTTTTTTTGTACTTTATTTTTTTGCTATTCTAACACTTCATTGCCAGTTTTCCCTGTAGCTTTTCTGCATCAGGAAGGAAGAAAAATCATACTATATGTCAGAAAATAAGATGGGAAACCCACATCATGACCACAGCAAAGATGAAGTAGTTTATTAGAAATTTCTTTAAGTATATATAACTTTCTGCATTTCGGTTATTGCTTAGTGAGTGAAAGATTTTATGACCTAACACAATGTGATGCAGTCGTGTGCTGTCAGCTCAGCTTAGTTTCAAATGGTGTTTATGCAAAAAGCAGTGGCAGCCAAGCTGTGAGTCCTATGTCTGCCCCCAAGAATGGAAGGTTGAATCCTAGAAAACAAACAAAAATTCTCTAGGGAAGGGAGAATTTATTTTTTGTTGCACTTTACAACTGTGAACAATGTTTAAAATAAATGAATAGGCATGCTGATAGAACAAACAGCTAAACAAAATATTCAGAATTAGTAATTACTGGTTTTAGGCCTGACTAACTAAATTACTACTCACTGAGTGTGTAACAGTAATTATCATTATCGGGTTCCAATCTTGGGTGGCAATCAATGTTCTGATTCTTCATAGCACGGGGCTGTTCACATGCTATTAATGGGAACTAGAAAAAGAAACCTCAGATTTAATCTCTGACATGGAAGAGGAAGTTGCTCGCTGGAGTTTTTTGTGGTAAATTAAAAACCACTGTCTTTGGTATTTTTGTTTCTTTTGTGCTATTATACTTGTAGCTCACTGCCTACAGGTGAGATTTATGGCGAAAAAATAAACGGTGTTCAGGCACCAAGAATGATAACATTTGGAAATGGTTCTTTTAGCTTCAGAACCAAACATATATTCCAGAAGGATGATATTTAGTATGGAAAACACAAAATAATCCTCTTGGAAAGTATTGTAACAAAGAACTCTGTGCCAGGAACATGTAACATTTCAGGCAGAAGAATAGCAGTTCCAAAAGAAGTAAGAAACTGTTTTTATCTAGTGAATCCTCAGAATTCATTGCAGGTGTAGAAAATTTGAATGTAACAATATATTTATATGGATCAGAAAAGGGTTAAGTGTTATGCTAACCACAATAACATCTGTAGGTATGGATTAACTTTGTTCAAAGAATTAAGAGATTTCCTTCTTCAGAGGAAAAGAGTGATTGCAGTTTGGGATAAGTGGAGAAAACACATTAGTACTGAATAATACTTTGGGTGTTTGTCCTATGTTCCATGAAGTATCTATGATAGCTGTAGATTCAGCTGTAGTCCAGATTCATTGATTGGAGAATAACATTATTCTTTCATTATATGCCTGTACTCTGAAACAACTTCTATAAAATTTGCAATGAAGCTGAAATAATCTTCAAGGTCAAAAATAGCTAAGCCAAAATCTACTCTCTTTTCTAGCACAGAAATCCAGTTTGTATATGGAATTGTGTTCATGAAATTCATCATGCAGGATGAATTTTTTTTCCTATTTTAAATTTTTCAGATTTTATACAAATATTCTACTTTTTCTTAGTTCAAGTATTTCTCAGATGCAAAGAAAGTAGATTTTAAAATAGTTTACTTTTACTATAAGTTTATAAAGTTTGTTCATACAGAATATGTAACTATATCAACATCCCTGTTTCTCCATAAAAAAAGTATTTTTATATATTCTGTCATCTGAAGAGACTTCTGTCACTCTCTTACCTGAATACCTGCAAGCCCAGAAATCTCAGCATGTGAGGTTGATGCAACTAGAGGTAATGAACTGGTGATATTTGACATATGTAATATTATAATGTTGTAGCATGAGAGCACCAGGTATCACAGTATATTGAACCACATGCTCAGAGTCAGTGAGATATTGGGAGGTGAAGGGTCTGCCAGAGGAGCAAAGCTGCTGGGGGACTGCGTTGGAAGGGAAATCTGATGGTGCATCAGCCTGGGCAGGGCAGGAGCTCTTGCCATGAAGCTCATCTCTCTAGTTTTAACACCTGACAAATCTGGTAGCTGTTGAAATTACTAGCATTGGGAATCCCAATATTGACATGTTGGCAATCGGTATGACCCTTTGCCTCCTCAGGCTGAATAGCAATGGAGCAGTCTTACACCACTCTTACCTTATCAGTTGCTTAACTCCACATTGCTGTGTTGAGATGATGGTTTTATAGTGTTTGTTGTGCTAAAGCTAAGCATTACATGAAGACAGCTTCTCCGAGTCCGCTTTTGTTAGTAAACTAACGTTAGAGTGGTGCAAGTAAGATAATGCAGGTAAACCCACAGAGCTTCAAGGGGGTTCATTTTCAGCTATAGCTGTCCTTGTAAGGAATTTTGCTTTCTACCTTTATGTCATTTATCTTACAGTTTATTAAGAGGACACTGACTCATTCTCCTCTCACCATGAAGCTGTGCTTCCTTATAATTGCTGATACTTATGCCTTTGCCTTTTAGGTAGCGATGTTTATGCTGCAGTTGGGCAGTGCTACTTTCTTGTTAACAGAACCAGTGATAAGCGCGATGACAACAGGAGCAGCTACACACGTTGTGACTTCACAAGTGAAGTATCTGCTGGGAATGAAAATGCCATATATATCAGGACCACTAGGATTTTTCCAGGTGAGTTCAGTAAAAGGGAGGGGTTATTCCATTAGCTAACGTCTTCTTCAACAACTACACTACTTGGTGTTGTGTGATATGGTTTAGAGGTGAACTTGTAGAGTAGAGTTAATGGTTGGACTCAATGATCCCAAGGGTCTTTTCCAACCTGAATTGTTCTATGATTCTAAATTTGTTACGCATGTGTGTGAATGAATGGAGGCTGTAATACCAAAACTTTCATGTTGCTAGATCTTTTCATAAGAACATCTTAGGAAAACTTGATGAAGAACTAGCTGGAAAGCATCTTATTTTTATCACAGTAATCCAATTATTGCAACATCAATAATTCAATTTATTATCCTGAGCAATTGCACACTGGTAGAGGGAGTGTTAACTCTTTCTGAATCAGCATGTGGGAGGGCTATACTCAAGTATCATTTTATACATATTTTCTTCATATTTTGCTGAATGAAATGACCATTATAATAAAAGGAAAATGACCCATGACTTGTGGATCTCCTATGCAAAAATTACCCTAGATATGTTGCTTATTGTTTTATAACATAATATTATTTTGCGATAAACACAGCAAATGCACAGCGTTAACTTAATTTTTATAAAATGAACACTGCCTTTCATACAGCATCATGGTTACTGCCTGTGAAAAGTAGATGTTGTGGGCTGAAATCTTAAAAAACAAAGTTGTATAATCTTATTGTAGAAAAGATATAAGAATGTATTCTTTATGGTAACTTTTCTCCAGAAAACCCCAATTTTTGGTGCTGTGAGCATAATCTTTTGGCAGAAGTGTTAGTAGTATTGCAATAACATCTGTCAAAATGATATTTTGCTCACAATAAAACTTTATTTACTTACTGATGTGGTAGTTGCACTGCACTGATAACAACAAAAGGATTGATTGCCAGATGAAGTGAGGCTTCATCTAGTTAGCCACTAAATTATGACACTTTAATTAAAAACATTAACTATATTTTTTGCTCTGCTCTTTATTTCTTCCTACCATTTTGGAAAATTTGTTAATGTGAACTCTATGATAAAAAAATGTTGCTTTTTAGAATGTTATTTCATAATATTTTTTAAATTTGGTGACATTCTGTGCCAATAATCCATTGGTAAGGTTTTTACAAGACCTATTAATGAGAACTAGGGGCACGCAATAAATGCAAATCATTTATCTTGTAGAGACATAACTGAAAGTGTCATAGCCAACTGAGTAGTCAATTGTCCTGTGAAACTATTACAAATGATTCATCATACATTAAAACATTTTTTAATTTTTTAAAAGCCTTTTTATAAATTGTTCTTAATATAAAATGTGACTAGTTTCCTTTTCATGGTGTTTCCATGGAGACTATACTTGCATATAGGAATTTTGTCACCTTGTAGAGACGACTGATGTTAAGTACCACAGCCAAGACATAATCAAAATACACATTATGAGCAATAATAAAGAAAAGCAGAGATATGAAAAAAAATATTTCCATGCTGGTCTGCTGATGATATCATCAATGAGGTCATTCACATGCTTTGAAAGAAATCTATTCCCTTATCCCTTTTATTTTTTAATATATCTAAAACAAGTCTTTTGCCCCTCACTTCACTTTCGAAATCAACCCCCTTTGAATATTTTCCCAAGAAAAAATTTCCTAATTTTTTAAGTTTCTGAATTACTCTGTAGAACTTTGTGAAAACAAACAATCAAACAAGCACCCCTTTGTAAAATTTAAAAGAACAATAAAAATGTCTTTATATTTCGAAGGGACGGTTTTTCCATGCAAATATTTTAAAAGGTTTCTGATGTCTGTTCAGACTTGTGGGTTGCTTTTAGAAGGTCCAGTGCCTCAGTTAGCAGATTTTAAAAATTTCTTTTCTCTGTTGCTAGTTTTATATGAAAATTACACTGATTAGATATATGTTAATGTGCACATGTAACTAGAGAGTGAAAGGCAAATTTGACATGTGTCTCTGGACATGTTCTTTACTCCACATTCTTGAAACCCAAAGACTGATTCTTTTGCTCACTTTTTTTTCTGTCTCCACTCCAGAACACCTCCCACTCACAAAGCCGATTACTTTGCCTCAGGCAGTCTTTGGGTTGGTAAAGCAAGAATGAGAATGTTTAATAAAGTGTGATGGGAGAGTTGAAAGTAAAGCAAGCCAGTGAAATGGATTCTTTATAGCAAGTGAGATCATGATTAAAGATGTAAAAAAGAACTTTGCATATGGAGAACAAATCTGTTGCTCTGGTGTTGAGCCTATGGGATTTCTGTGTTTTCACATAGTTTATGTAATTTATTAAATTACATTTTCCCTGTATATGGTTTATAGCAGTGCAATTGAACTGCACACTGCAGTATCAGTTGGTACTTTCCAAATGGGAAAGGCGAGGTGAAGGTGAAGAAGAAAAATGGTGAAGGAAGACTGCGTGTGAGATCTAATTTTTACAGGGGACAAGAAAAAGCATCACCAAGTTTTACTTAGTATCTGAAAATAGAAAAACATATCTATATTTGCCCTTTATTCATGTGTAGATATATTTATCCTTCAATGAGCTTCTGAGAAAACGCAGCAGTGCAAAATGAACAGCAGCTTAACAAACCTGCTTTGCAAAACAAGGTCTCTTGTGGTTGTGTTGCAAGTGTGTTGCAAAATCCTTGTGGTTGTGCTGCAATTAGCTGAATAAACTTTCACACTCCTGCTATCAGTCCTTATCTTTCATCTTTTTACCCAGTTTGTTCCCTATAAAGTTCACAGTAGTTGCCTGTACTTTTTTCCCCAGAATGCTCTTTTTGTTGAGCGTCAGAATGAAGTGTTTTTGAAAATGCAATGAAGTTGTCTACTTTTAAACTCCATGAAGTGTTTAATATGTTCTTTTGATTCTTTTGTTTACTTTGGCTTCTATACTCCTTTTAGAACTAATCTTTCGGGTTTTCATGCATGCATTAAAAAAAACCAAACCCAAACCTAGAATATTTCATTAATACAGAATCACAGAATCGCAGAATTGCCTAGACTGGAAAAGACCTTTAAGAGCATTGAGTCCAGCCACTAACCTAGCACTGACAAGTCCTCAACCAAACCACATCCCTAAACACTATGTCTACCTGACTCTTAAATACATTCAGGCAAGGGTACCCCACCACTGCCCTTGTCAACCCATTCCAATGGTGGATAACCCTTTCAGTAAAGAAATTCTTCCTAGTATCCAAACTAAACTTCCCTTAGAGCAATTTGAGCCCATTTCAGCTTGTCCTATCACTTATTACTTGGTTGAACAGACCAACACCCACCTCACTACAGCCTCCTTTTACGTACATGTAGAGAGCCATAAGGTCTCCCCTGAGCCTCCTTTTCTCCAGGTTAAACAACCCCAGCTCTCTCAGCTGTTTCTCTTAAGATTTGTACTCTAGACCCTTCACCAGCCTCGTTTTCCTTTTCTAGACATGCCTCAATGTCCTTTTTGGAGTGAGAGGCCCAAAGCTGAACACAGGACTTAAGATATGGCCTTGCCAGTGCTGAGTACAGGGGTAAAATCGCTTCCCTGGTCCTGCTGGCCACACTATTCCTGATCCAGGCCAGGATGCCATTGGCCTTCTTGGCCACCTAGGCACACTGCTGGCTCATGTTCAGCCGGCTGTCCATCAACACCCCCAGGTCCCTCTCTTCCTGGCAGCTCTCCAGCCACTCCTTCCCAAGGCTGTACCACTGCTGGGGTTGTTGTGGCCAAAGTGCAGGACCCAGCCCTTGGCCTTGTTGAAACTCATACAGTTGGTCTTGGCCCATCGATCCAGCTTGTCTAGGTCCATCTGCAGAACCTCCCTGCCCTCAAGCAGACCAGCACACCCACCCAGCTTGGTGTCATCTGCACACCTACTGAGCGTGTGCTTGATCCCTTCATCCAGATCACTGATATGTAAAATACTGAATTTGCAATGATGTTTGTGATGAAAATATTTGCAAATATTTTGAATCAGATGCCAGTGCTATTACAAGCTTGAGTTTTAGGTGTTTGCATATATGATTTACACCTTCACCTTGGATGAATACAGTAACTGACCGGACAGTATAATGTGTGAACTGTGTAGTACAGTGAGATGGTTATAGTATATGTTAACCACATACATGTTAAGAGCCACACACTCTCTTACTGAAGAGCCTGTAAGCGGTTTGGAGATGGTTTCCTGGCTTTGCTGGTCATATCATGACATGGGTGTGTTCAGGTTTTCAGAGAATTCTTACCTGGAATCATAGAACTGTTTAGGTTGGAAAAGGCCTCTAAGATCAATAAGTGTAGCCATGAAAAGACTAGTTAGTGGAAGCTCTTTAGTCTGATGTAGTAATTGATTTAATATTTACATACTACTGCCAGAATTGTTGCAGTGTGCTACAGACGCTTTGGGAACAAGTCTATTGGTGCTACTGAGCTTGTATGAGCTGTGAAGCTTTGGTAGTCCCATTCTTTTTCATTTATTTGCTTATGTAGACTACATACTGAGGGTTATGATTTGAAGAGAAGCACCAGAGAGTACACTAGGCAGTTCATATAAAGAGCTTGTTTCAAGGTCTGAAAAACTGTGCTAAAGGTGTACAAGATTTGGCTATATGTTTTAAAAATTGAATGGAGGCTTCTCTTTTGGTCAATGTATAAAGGAATACAGAAATTCTAAAATCTTACGCATGCTTCTTTGTAATCCTTCTTTAAAATTATACTTACTTTCCCAGTCTTATGTCTCACTTTTTCTAGGAAAATTAAATGCTATAAACAGATAGCCAGTGCTGACACTTCAATAGCCACCGTTCAGTTCAAAACAAGCCCATGTCTCTGACAATTAGGAGTCAATTAATTTCTTCCCTTTTCTTAACAATTCACCTCCTACATAGCTCTGCCATTGGTGAGTTTGCGGACACAGTCTGCAATATAGTTTTTCAAACTGCCACCTTTTGCCCTAATTAATCATAGCTTCTGCTTGAGCACTGAGCCAAGTGGTGCTCTCTTGAAAATGCATTCTTGGAAAATTATGGGTACAGAGACTAGTCCCAAGCCACTCAAGATGCAATCGACATATTGTCTGATTACAGTGGGACAATATGTGGCTAAAAACTGTGGTTTGATTACCATTCTTAAGATTTATGAAACAGATAGATCATATTATTTAACAAGTTGATTTTAAAATGTTTTCCTGGGCTCTGAGAAACATTTGTGCTGGGTTATGCTGTGTGTCCTTAATCAAATGCCCAAGGGCTGAATTTCAAAAAGTGAACTAAATTTTTTTCTCATTATAAGGAAAATTGCATTTCATCTTTTTTCTGTAATGATTTTAGAGTGATTTTATTAGGTTTTTTTCCCCTTATAGTTTATGAAAATATCTTAGAAAGGATGAGAGAGGAAAAATCAGGAAGTTATTGTAATTTACTCATTCTTCAAAATTAGCACTTCAAGAAATGACAGAATGAAAACAGTGCAAAAAAATTTATCATCATATTGACCACCTTTCTGCTAGAACAGGGTTCCTTCCTCAGATAATTTTTCTAGTACTTTTTCCTGTCTAGTATAAATATATCTATTTAAGGTCCAAACTGTCAAACCTTGTTAGCATTATGCATGTATTTGAGAATAGGTTCTGTGGGGCAGAAAATTATTAATCTTTATTTTGATAGAACTACAAGTGTCTCTTTTCATTTATTTTAGTGATCTTCTCAGCTGTTGCCAGAGAAAACACTTTTTAAAATGTATTATTATTTCAAGCTGCAGTTGCTTGATTTTATTATTCTTAATATTGTGGTTTATAAAGATGTTACTTGTGATGCAATCTAAATTTACATTCTGGATTTTGACTTCTGTTCTCTGCATGGTTTCCAGCTATGTAGTATTTCCCAGAATATAAATGTAGAATTCAAGGGATTGAGCCTATCTTGTGTTTATTTTTTCCCTGCAGCTTTAGTAAACATGTCTGTTATATCCATTTTCATGCCTCTTTCTTCCTTCAGGCAACAAACTATTGCTTTTATTCGTGAGGCCTGAAAATAACTTGTGACAGGGATCTGATTATTTCTTTGTTTATTGGGACAGAAGTCTCCTGTAACTTTCTTCACTCCTTCTCACCACTTCAGTAAACCTATGATTTGTTTCATCATTTTCTCTTAATCTGTTTTCATACTGATTCATGCCTCATTTTCTGGACCCTCTAATTCAGAGCAGAACTCAAATGGCAATTCACTGGACAACTGTATCATTTATGAGGGCAACTGTATTATGAGTCTGTATTCATCATCAGATATCCCTGTTACTCATCACCATTGGCCATTCTACTCCTATTTCATGTTTTTATTCCACGTGTTCCCTATATTCAACATTATATTTCATTTCTTCATCATAGACCCAACTATACTTTTCTACATTGTACAGCATGTTGCACCACACCTCAGCCTTTGCAAAGCTAAAGGCCTCCCATTTGCAATTCCGTAGCTTTGCCCTGATCTCCTCTTCTTCTTTTATCACCACTGGCTGCCTCTCACATGCAGTGATGTAGTCATTCCCCAAACTTCCAGAGCCCACTGCGGCGGGACTTTGAACTTTGTGGTCTGGCGTGCCTCATTCCTTGCACCCTTGCATCTGCAATTCCTGCACCCTGGAGGGCACTTGTCACTGACGTGTGGATCACCCATTCCTCTCTATTTTTACCTCTTGTTTTGCACCTCTTATATGTTCAGGCTAAGGAAAGAAACAGGGCTTAACAGATATTTAAATAGCCATTAACATATGTACACAAGCTGGACAGCTAATTAGTGTGTGCAGCATCTGAACCTGATCCCAGCATGCTCCATGGAGCGCTGCTGTGTAATGGGCAACCGAAAAGGAGACTGAGTGTGCCCTGCTGAAGCTATATAGTTACCCTGGAAAAATATTTGAATAGATCCCCCCCTCATGCACTGGAGGGGATGTCCTGAAGAGGATGCTTATCTAGGACGATTCCTTGTGCTTCTCTTCCTGTCCAGACACTATTACATTTCTATTTCCTCTCTCGCCTTCTCTTTACTCATCCTTTCTGTCTTTTAAAGGTTGATGGATGTTATGAACTACAGACACTGAAAAAACATTTGCGCATGGAAGCTTCTTTCAGCATTCTTTGCAGCACTCATCCCCGTGACTTTCATGAGAATGAATAAGAAAAGAATATGTATAACATTAACTGGAATTTGGTCACTTGCTTCTACCAACAGAAATCCATAAATTCATAAAAACAAATATTTGCTGCATTTTTTTAGTTTTCAAAAGTCCATAGCAATAGTAAATCAGAGATTTTCTTCCTTGAAAAATCCTAAGTGCAGGCCAGTTTGTAAAATGACTCAACTCCTGTAGTATTGATTCAGCTCTCATAGATTTAGATGTTTGAAGCTGAGTAGAATATGCTATAGTATGTAATGAAAGATGATATATTTTTTGATCTGTGGTTTTTATTTGCCATTCACTGTAGATTTATGCCTACATATTTGAGAACATCAGATCGGTTCAGTTGGAGGCTTTACTTCTCTCCTTGCTGAGCATTGCAGTGCTCGTTCTTGTTAAAGAACTGAATGAGAAATTTCGTAAAAACATTAAAGTTGTTCTTCCCATCGATCTACTTTTGGTAAGTAGAAAATCAAATACCAGGATTTTTGCTTGCAAAGCTTTCAGTGGCTCAACTTATCTGCTGAAGTTTACTGTCATTACCCACGACCACACCTGCCATTTGTTAAATGGATAGCTAATTTTTATAGTTGTATGTTGAATGTAGGAACAGGAAAGAGTTTGGCTAAATAATTAAGAAAGAAAGGCCATAAGTTCCCAATTTGTATAATATTTTTCATGTGTTTATTACTTTTTACATAATCACAAAAACACGAAGCCTAGAATACCAAAGTGCAAGAAGTTTGAAATAAAAAGTGAAAAGTAACTGGCACATTGTAACTCCAGGCAAGTCTTGTGCTGGGTAGTTGTGGCTTAGATGTTGCTTGTCATTTTTCTGAGATGAAGTTAAATAGCTCTGCTATTTCTTTCTGTAATTTTATTTACAGTTTTTCTTTCACATGACATTTTCTGAATTCACATTAGCTATTCCATTGTAAATCCTTGCTTTAAGGGTTAAACTGTAGCCAAATAATCAGCATCAGGAGAGAAGGTTTCTGTTTTACTCTGGACCTCTAAAAGAAAAGAAAAAAATGGAGGGCAGGTGCTTTTCAGAGTGGATCGTCACAATTACTCTTCTCTCACTGGGAAAAGTCATTTGCAAATAATAATATTTCTTGGGCAAAATGTGGGAGAAGGAGGTAGCATGATTCTGGTCCCTGCTCTAAGATCTGCCTCTGTGTTACCTTTCAAGCAATACTGGATAAAACGTACCAGCAAACTGAGGTTCATGGACTGGAACCTGTGCCTATCCTATTGAGATTTGGGTGTTCATCTCATAAAAAGCATGAGAAGTGAATTTGATTCTCCTCAGGGTCAAACTTGCCACTTCCTCAGCAAGGTTTATACCTGCTGAAACATAAAAATAAGAGGCAGCTGCCTCTTCTGCTGTGTTTTGTGATGAAGCTGACACTGCCAGTCTGCATTAGACATGCCTGGAGAACATCAGCTGAATCAGACTACTCAGGAGCACCTAAATTATGAACTATTTTAATCTCCTCACATGGGTCTGGGGTGTCTGCTGCACATAGGTAGTTTGGACGCTGATTAGCAAGGTTCCTGAGGCTCTACGACTTGTACAGATCCCTTTTATTAACACAGAATGTACAAACTCCACTATAGTCCTTCAGCCACAAAAATGATCAAAGGACTCGAGTGCCTCTTCTGCAAAGACAGGCTGAGAGAGTTGGGGCTGTTCAGCCTGGAGAACAGAAGGCTCCAGGGAGACCTTATAGCGGCCTTCCAGTACCTGAAGGGCACCTACAGGAAAGGTGGCAAGCGACTGTTTACAAGAGCTTGTAGCAAGAGGATGAGGGGCAATGGTTTTAAACTAGAACAGAGTAGATTTAGATTAGACATTAAGAAGAAGTTATTTGCTATGAGGATGGTGAAACACTGGAACAGATTGCCCACAAAGGATTTGGACTAGATGACCTTTAAAGGCCCCTTCCAACTCAACACATTCTATGATTCTATGATCTTTTCTAAATTCATTATTGTGTCCAGGTCCTGTTTTCTTCTGACTCTATTCCATATTTGTAAAATTTTTCTTGAGAATACTTCTCTGTCACAGTAGATTGATCTAAGGACAAATGCATTAGAACTGTCACATGCTTAGGTCTGGTAATAATAGGGACCATGTGAGAATCTAAAAGCGTAACATCTTTTTCTGTGTTGAATCAATAGATAATTGCTACATCTGTTGCTTGCTACTATGCTGATATGGAGTACGTCTGCGGGCTAGAAGTTGTGGGACATATTCCTGAAGGGTAATGTGGTTTCTATTAGCTTGTGGCCTTTAAATGTGTTTCTTTCTGAGAACAGTCTCTGAAGTGGTCAAAGTAGTTTTCTGAAATAAGAAATACCAAAACTCTATTATGTTCATTTTCAACCTCCTCAGTTTCTCACAGTTCAACCCCATGTTAACAAGCTATATTTGTATAGATATCATAATAAAAATGCAGACTTTCTTGACCATTTTCATAGCTTTTTTATTACTTTATGGAATAAAAAGTAGGTACTAAGTACCTGATGGTGGGTGATGGATGTATGACAGCAGGGCAAAGCACTCCGTACAAGATTATTGCAACCTCCCTGTGATTATAGTAACAGAAAGTACTTGTAATGAGATAAGGCTTGTAGATTACTACACTTCATTCTTCTCCACTTATGAAGTAATTTTAGAAAATGTGGTTTCTGAGGAAATGTATGGGATTTAGATATGCTTAATCTGGAAAAAAAGCATTCTGACTATAGTTACCGATACATTTTATTCTGTGACCTTAAAGACAAGGAGAAAAAGATATTCAGTATAATTAGCTGGAAAGAAAAATTAGATCAGATGTCAGAGAGAATGTTCAAACTCTATAGGTTTGTTTGTTGTGTAATCTACCCTTCAGAAATTGCAAGGTTTCGCTAAATTTCACAAAATACAAGCCCAAGATAGCATGAATGTATGTGTGGTAGCTTGCATTGCTAGAAATAAAATATGGGAAGTTGATGAGAAAGAAAAATGTTTCTAAGTATTTACGACATGCTATTGCATGCTATGTATCTGATATTAAAACATGGCTATGTGCCCTTTTGATATGTGTTATAAACAATTAAATTACATTAGTGCAGCTTTAATCAGAAACATATTTTCTGTCTAACCTTGCATGATAAGATTCTGGTGTGTGAAAAACCTGAAGCATGTAGTTTTAGGCATTTACCTGAAATATCTAACTGAGCGGAGAGGGTTAGAAACCTTAGGAGCACAAGTTAGCTTTTAGATAGTGTGATTGTTGCTCTGGAGAGACCTAAGTTTTTCTGTGGAGTACAGAGACAAGCTGGGGTGGTTCAGTTCTTAACTGAGGCATCATTGCAGTCCCCTTTAGAAGATCTCCATTACATGGAATAAATGTCCATACAGTCCATAACCTACAGGAATACCAAATTGTTTAAAAAGATTTAAACTAAACATTACAGGAAAGCCAACTATAAAAAGAAAATATATGCAGTAGAGCATTTATTGAGCATTACAAAATTAGAGAATGGTTGCTGATTTTATATGTCAGTGACAGAGCTAATTTGTGAGGATTCCTTCATAATTTCTGAAACTGAAGTTTGCAAATGGAATACTCCATCTGAAACTGTTTCGTCTTCTTCCACAAATTCTTCTCTGCGGTTCCCCACAGACTGAGATCCTATTAATCTAAAATACTGAAAAATGTCACCTCACAAGTATTACAGAAATTAGTGGTGAGAAGATTGTCTCTCTTTTATTTTCATGCATTGCAGGTGTATCAAGGGTATATACCAAGCTTTGTAAAAAGGACTATCTTTATTTTTCATAGGTTACCATCACCGAAAACACCACCCATGAGTGTCCTGCCTGAAGTAGTCACTGAAGCTTTTGGAGTAGCGCTGGTTGGTTATGTAGCGTCATTAGCTCTTGCCCAAGGCTCTGCTAAAAAGTTCAAATACACTGTGGATGACAACCAGGTATAGCTCTTTCTCCTCACTGTCAGGAAGCCTTGAAATTGCTTCATCATTTTGGAAGTCTATTCTAGATGAATGCCCAGTAGAAAAGTGTACGTTCCATATTGCATCCTAAAGCCTTCCGGTGATTACAGAAAAACTCAAAACACCTCTGCAGAATACCTGAGCTAATTGAGCTGCACTTTTTGGAGAAGTTCATCCTTCAGGATAATCTCATAATGCTGCATTCAGGGCTGTTGGATGTTAATGCTCTAAGATGAGACAGCTTCTCCTCTGGCAGCTGAGGTCCTAAATGCAAGCTAAAGTGTTGAACCAGCCACCGATTACAGAAGAAAAGCCATTCTAAAACCAGACCAGGTACTTAAAGCCCCAGGACATATCTGATGTTATAAAATGAAGGCTATGCAAAGTAGAAGTCTCATTTGAAGTAAAAGTTTATTTGTATAAAAGAAGCAGGGTGGGTTCAGAGAGTGTTGCCAAATTTACAGCCATATGAGCTTTCTGTGCAGAGTTCCACTTTACAGTGGACATGCTTAAATGAAAATGGGATGTTACTTTCTGCACTATCCAACTGTTTGTCATGGTGGGTGGGTAACTCCAAGTCAACTGGAAATCCACAGAGACAAATAATTCAAGCACTGTAGTAAAAAACACTCGACTCCAGACAACTGGCAATAATGCCATGTAATGAAAATGATGCCTCCACCTTTCTCTTAAGTGGTTTGGGATAAATGACATAAGATTGGATGAAGAACAGTTGGTTTTGCAGCTGGAGGTCTGTTTGAACACCCTATCTAGACAGGTCAGTCTTTGTACATCACTCCATGTCCTTTACAACTCTTACATCATTGGAAAATATGATGGGAATGTTCTCATCCACTCAGATTTCTAAAACGTTTTTCAGAATGAATACATCTGGCCAAGAATTACTGTTGATGCTTCAAAGCCACATTTTCTAGGGAGCAGAGGGGATATGCCTTGAGCTGAATACAGGTCAGACCTCAGGGTGATAGGTTGCATTGGCTCAAAGGCATTAAATGGAATGCAGCAACCTTTATGTCTTTCTGCATATTTGGAAATCTTACAGCTTATAGAGTTCTATTACTGAGGTTTTGAAAACTATCTGTATGGATGTATTCAATAATAGAGCAAAAGAGCAAATCCTCCATGAGAACAGAGACTACAATGGCAGAGGGGCTGGTGTAGCCATATTGCACCTGGGAAGCAGGCATGGGGCTCAGCGTGGTGGCATGTGGTTGTATGAGGGTGTCTGGGGAGGGTTAAGGTGGTGCTGTCTCCTGCTGTGAAGACAAATTTAAGATCAGGTTTTGCCCTGGCTAGACACAGTACCATTTGTGTCCTAAGGGCTTCTAATAATACTGAGATCTAACACATTGCCCTCAGCAGTGAATGAGCTCCTTAAGCCTGGGGAAGAAGGCTGGTGCTGGATAGCCAGCTTGAGGCACCATTCAGCTAAGGCTGCAGACAAAAGGTTGCATCTTCACTTTTTTTTTTTCCTATAAAGCTTTGTTCAGACATATCTGCATTTTGACTGTGAATACACCACCAAATAACATTTGTAATGAAGGAGAGCATGCAGATAGTATTGCAACCATATTTCACTTTCACTAAAACATTCTTGAAAAGAAAAAAAATCAGTGGTTGTCCAGATCCCACTACTTGAGATTCTGGCCTATTAAAATCAGATGTGGATCAAGATGGAAATATTTTTGCTGAATTTCATCTTCAAAATTTAGCAGTACCATTTATTCTGTGAATAAAACGTACCTCCAGCTTTTGATGAACATGGTTCAAGCTCTATCATTCAAATTAGTTCTGAGTTGTGAGAAGATATATTATGTTGGGAGATCTTTAAAAATACGGCCACTCTTTGTCATTGCTAATATTTACATAGGGGACTCCTTTGTTGGCAAGAAGCATTGAAATGACAGAACAATAGGAAAAAAACATCTTCTATTTAACAACTTTGCAGGAACTTTTGGCTCATGGCCTCAGCAACGTGATTCCTTCATTTTTCTTTTGCATACCAAGTGCTGCAGCAATGGGACGGACGGCACTTTTATACAGTACAGGAGCCAAAACACAGGTAATGGGTCAGGGTGAATTATGTAGGAGAATTAAGGCTATGACACTGCTCATGGAACTTTATCGACTGTATTTCTACATTTCCCTTTTCCTGATTTATCCACTGTATTTCCCTATTTCCTTTTTCCTCTTTCGTGGGAAATGACTCTTCCCTGTCATTTTTAACAATCTGCATGGAATTGCATCTGATTAGCAACTGTCTTACTAGAAAAGCTAATGGTTCCACCTATTCATTTTTACCTGTTTAATTCAATATAAACTCTAAAGTCTGTGGCAATAAGGAGGTTAGGAGCTATGTTTTTATACACAAGCTCTTTCAGTTTTATGTACATCTGTCAGCGCTGTAACAAAACTGCCCTCTAATGGTGTTTAACAGATTTAATGGTATAGGCTAGAGTGATTTTTTTTAAAAAAATCAAATTTAATTTAGTTATTCTGATTGTCAAAATAAAGTGAAAGTATTTTTTTTAAAAAAAAAACAAAAAAACAAACCAACAAGTAATCTCCCAGTTTCTGCCTTGTGACATGGTGTGCTTGTCCTGTCTCTCAGTATACACAGAGTCCACAGAGATGACACTCGGATTTCTGGGGATTTTTTTGGGCTATTTCCTACTGTTAGAAATGAAACTCACAAGTTCTTATTGCAGTAGCTCAGAAAAGAAGGAACTGCCATTGGTGAAAATGAGATACAACGGACAAGGCTAAGTACAGTCTATAGGTGCTCTTTCTTCTTGACCGTGTCCCACAATTATCTCTCATGCAGATACCATACTAAGAAATGAGACAGAGCTTTATTTCAAAACTTCATATGTTAATGAATTCCTAATTAGCCTGCACAGTACTCAGAACTCAATTCATCATAATGAATAATTTATCCAGTAATAATTTTTAAAAGCATTTGTATGCAAATAGGTTAGCCACCACTTTGCTGTTAGCTGTTTTCTATCTTTGAGTTGGATTCAATATCATACCATGTCCTCTCATCTTCACAGATGTCCTATTTTATTGCCTGTTCACATACTGGTGGTACAACTTCCAGTTGTACTGCATTATTGCTTTTTCAAGGAATCTTTAAAATAACCTGAAGATCTATACCCAAAGATTTATAATCTGAAGGCATATGGGGTATCTCAGCACTTCAGTTCTGGTAGCTGTAGGCGAAGGCCCTGATGGAATATTATTCAATACATGAAATATAAGAAAACCCCACTCCATAGATTGATTTTAAGGAAGAAAGTACATGGTAAAAATAATAAGTATCTGCTTGGTTTTATTCGTTGTGTTTGCCGTACAGCAGAGCCTGCATTCAAAAGTTAGTGTGGCCATGGATTAGCACAATGGGAGTACTTCAGTAAACACAGAATTATCCCTCTTGCCTTCTTTTTGGAGAGTATCACATCCACTTAATTCTCCACTTTTAGGGCTGTCTTTTTTATTTTTCCTTTGCTTTTTGGGAAGGCAGAAAGAGGGAAAAGTTCTGTGTGACTTTACCAGCAGATTTTGTGTGCCTTTTTCTGTAAACACTCTGTCTATCCTTCTTGATGGTATTTTTAAGTACCCCATGGCTTAAATCTTCTAGTGTTTTAACAACTTGTCTGGTTTTGTTTTTAACAACTTGTCTCTTAAAATGAAACCTAATTATTCTAGTAAAGAAACATATTATCAATATAAAAATAAAGCAAGCATCTGTCTACTTATCGTCAAAAACCTTCTGTGAATCTGGACTGTCTTAATGAGACCAGAAGTTCTTCACTTTGTGAGCAGTCAGAGTGGATTAGGAGACTGCAGTTTTGCTGTAGTTTTCCATCAGATTAGTACCATATAATGCTGTGAAGAAACATATAATTCTTAAACCATATATTTGTCTGGATTCACGTTACATGAATTAGTTATAATTTTTAACACATCTATCTATCTATCTATCTATCTATATATAAATTGTTGCTACATTTTCAAAAGTAAAGTCCATCAACATTAATATGAAATCATTGATGGTTTCAGACTTAACACTACAGTTTCCTTCTAGTGTCCGTCCCAGTAGAAGAAGTTAGAGGTCTTCTCTTGTGCAAAAATGACAACACAGTTCTCCACGCAAAATTTTGGCTCATTGCTATGACAGATCTCTTATTTAGTGCAACATAGGGTGCATGACTATAAATATATTACAGAGCGAGAGTGGATACTGCGAAACTTTTGGGATAAGATACAGCACACACACACTTCATTTAATAACCAAGTGTGTAAGTGATGCTGTCAGCAGGGTCAAGCATGGGTGCTGAAATCTCTTCCTATGTTTTCACTGTAGTTGGCTGAAGGTAATAACCAGAGACTAAAACCAAAATGATATGCATCTGTAATCTATAGATAATGTTAATAGCTAACACCTGCAACATCTCACTCTTAACTTGGTCTACTAAATTTGATAATTAGTCCTTCTCACGCATCTAAATTTTGGTGTGGTTTTTTTTTTTTGTTAGACTGAATGATTTGCTTGTTTATTGTTTTAGGTGGCTTGCCTTATCTCTTGTGTATTAATTCTTGTGGTGATGTATACAATTGGACCTATGCTGTACTGGCTGCCTATGGTATGGTACTTATCTTTTTGTTTTTAAGATTATGTCAAATATTTTCTATTTACTTAATTTCTTTCAGAGAAAGATAGTACCACTCCTAAAACACCTCTACTTTACTTCAATAGGAGAAAGAATAGTAAGGGCACAAGTCTCAAAATCAAAAATACAGAGGTTACAACATAATACCTTCAGATTTTACACATATATAGCTGTTTATATAGGCTATCATATAAGCATGTAAGAAAGCATTTCTCTTTTACTTACTTGTGGTACACAGTTTATGAAAAATATACATCTAGATTGCTGTGGATTTGTCAATTGGCAGTGTAGTAGAAATTATTGACAGCCCACAATCTTTCTTCAGGTCATGCATGCTATGTATGACTTTGCTTTTCAGATTGTAGACAGTGATCTAAGTTTAGTTACAGAAAGATTATGAGTTATTCTTATATCTCCGCCATCTTCTATACTAAGATTCTGTAAAGCAACATGGTGTGTTTTCACATAAGCTGTATCTAGCTTTTGATATTACAAATTAATAGTTAATTTTAACTAAAGGCATGTCAAAGATGCAAAACCAGCTCCAAAATTATCCATAATTCTATCATGTTTGTACATGAAATTTTAATGCAACAGTGATTTAAATTTACTTTGTGCAATTGTTTACATAATGTCACATGAAGGTTCTCACTTTTCAAACGTAGATCCTTTTATAGCTTCTTTTAGTAAGGACACTTCAAGAGGGGTGCACAATATGTCCCTTTTCTTGCTATACTGCTTTCTTTATTTCATTTTTTATATGGTTTATATGTAAATTTTGACTGTTTTCCTGTAGACTTTTTTCCCACACTTTAAAAAAACTTTTTGTATGTTGCTTTCTTGACGTTTTATTTCTTTTCTATTATGCTTTTTCAGCCCTCCCTACCTATGCACTGCAAGTCCATTCCTTTTTACTCATCTTTTTTGGCTCTAGATGATTTCCAGATGATCCATCGCCTTCGTCTTTCTGATTTGGAGAACAATAAATTATTTTCTCTGCCTCAAAGCTAGTGGATTTCTTGCTCTAGATGCCATCTCTAGGCAGTGGAGAACGGGAAATAAAAGTCTTCACAGTGTAGAGGTTGAGTGCTGATTTGCATCTGAGACCCCCAGATTATGGTAGAATGTGGTTGGTTTGGCGATGCACTGAGAGCATTGGGAAAACCTGACAATCCTGTCATTCTTCTCACAATCAGATTGCCTTCAGGAAAAAGTAAGATATTGAGTTTGATACTGCAATGCTTGTGTCACAAGGGCACCTGTGCTTATTTTATTTTTGAAACACTAACTTCACTTTTTAATAATTTAATTATAATATTGACTTAAATTGAAGAAAGAGCATTTGTTTTCACTAACATTTCTGCAAATGGCTTTTGGTTTTTATTCTTTTGCAGTGTGTTCTAGCAAGCATTATTGTTGTGGGCTTGAAGGGGATGCTAATGCAGTTCCGTGACTTAAAAAAATACTGGAATGTGGATAAAATAGACTGGGTAAGTGAATCTTAATCTAATAAGAATTTCCTGAGACCCTTTCACAAATACCTGCTAAATAAACCTTAATATTTCTGTGGCCCTAGAAGAAATAAGTGCAAGCCATTATTATCGGGGGGTTAGTGTGCTATCAGCTTATTATCTGTCTCAGAATAACAGCATCTGTAATGTCAATTTTATGAAAAAATGGAATTTTAATGAATGATAAAGCATCAAACCTAATTTAATGCTGAAGATGTGTATACATCTTTACATAACCTGATGACAGATCAGGCTAATCTGAGCAGATGTGTGTCTAATTTTATATGCCTTCTCTAGCTGGTGAGCATTCTTTTGCTACTGTAGTATTATTGAAAAGATTCTGGTATCTTTGTCCTCTGGGGATATGGAATGATCAAGCAAGATGAACAGAGCTGGAAACACTAGACATGCAGAAAGATACATGTCCTAGGGTGCTGTAGGTAAATTGCCTTAAGTCTTTCAGATTTTGCAAACAGAATATTGTTTTATCATAATTAAAGATTCTGCAGTATGAGGGGAGGAATACATCAGAAAAAGCAGAAAAATGGAAAGAGACATACTAAGAAAACTTAGTCTAATGCAAAAACTGAGTAGTCTGACATGCATTTGCGCAGAATTCCTAGCAAATATTAAAGATGTTCCATGTTTAGGAAGACTCTTAGATTTCTCTTCTGAGAGAGTTTCCGAGTGTATTGGCACATTAGTGGAACCAAAACCATACTGACATCCCACAAAGCTTTGGAACTTCTGTTAACAAATATTCAGAAAAGGTATTCTGGCCATATCCTCCTTTTCTATGGTGGGAGATATAGGTCACTGGAGGTAATATTTGACTTTGTTGAACTCACCCGTGACTTAATATTCTACAGCAGTAATGGTAAGTCTAGACTGAATAATTTTTTTTTTTACTTTTTAAATAGAGTACTGGATATCAGTATGGAAAGCAAGGCTAGGTAAACAACATCAGGTTTGGCTATGTGAGATTTTTTTAATTTTCATAAGAAAACCTAGAATTATTTTTTCTTTCTCTCTCATCCAGAAGAAAAACTCTCATGATGTCTTACGTTCCTCAAGCAGAATACCTCTGAAAATATTTTCTACTCTATTGTTGTACTCTATAGAGTTGTCCTCTATTTGGTCGTCTTCTTAACCCATATTGCCAGTGACACAAATGGTAGATAATATGGATTAAGAATTATTATTGGGGACAGTGGATTTAAGAAATTTGTTATGGGAGAGAGAAATGGTTTCTCTCTCAGTGCATTGAGATAATAAGTAGTTAAATTTTCTAGCAAGATATTCTGGAATCTCACTAGACTTGATGCATCTTCACAGATAGACTAGCCTGATTGATCTATATTTTTGTTGTTTGGGCAGAAAAGAATGGGTGAGTAGGTGGTTATTACGTCTCCCACATTTGTCATTACTTCTGAGAGAGGTTGTAGAGAGGGGGAGTTTGCTGGATTTATCTTTTTGATCGAAGATACCTGAATAATGATTTATCTTCAAGTAGTTGTACCATCAGTTCTTAGCCTGACAGGGTAAATCATCTTGCTTTAAAGAGCATAATCTAAAATAGGGCTATAAACATTGATCTTAGATTGCTGCCTGGTCTGAGGAGCCCCACCAAACCCAGTGATTTGAGTAAACACAGCAGTGTGGATTTTGGCCTGAAAGGACTCACTCAAGTAATTGACAGCATATTGAAAATGCAGCAGTTCCATTACCCAGGTTATCCAAAGTGTTTTGAAGATCGAAACTCTAACAAAACATTTGGAAATAATTAGCAGCTCTCCTTTCTGGAACTGGTTTTTTGAAGGGTGTGTGTCGTGTACCACAGAAGTCAGGTTTGTTATGCTTATATGTCTGGCAAGTGATAGTGCATAGAAACCGAATATTATGGAGATTTACCGCCCTGTCCAGAGGGGGTCCAGAGAGGGTTTTCCATAGAATTTTGGAGCTTGCTAGTGCAATTTCAGGCATTTTTAGAAATTTTCATCATATTTTCAGGAGAAGGATGGCCTTTTAGATTTTCTCAGGTATTCATCACATCAGGACCCTGATTCATGAGAGGACTCTGAGACCTCTGAGGGTTTTAGTATATAAAAATATTTTCACAGAGTAGGAAGCCATCTCTTTTATGATAATAATTTTACATGAATGCCTCTATCTTATAACAGCCTAGGGAGGTTTTCTATCTTTCCTACATTAGTGAAAATGCTACCCTGAGCTGTAATAGTTTTACTGCACTTAGCCAGATGGGAAGGAATTTTCAACTACTTAATCCACTGAAAGTATGACTGCCATACAAATTCTTTTTAAATAATAGTATTTATAGCTGTCCGTCTGTCTCCAGGGCAGTTTGCAAACAAATACCCTCTTAACCACTGTGTATGTAATGCTTATGAAAACTTAAAGAACTACCACACCACTTTGCTATTAAGCAGTTCCTGCTCAATGGCTATGGTCGTCTTCACTCCAGCACTTGACTCGTAAGATTTAATGAAGCATGCCCTGAGGATGTATGCATGCATCAGTCATTTGTCGTCAGAAGGACATAGCAGCGTGGGCATGTTGCTTGGCTTCCTTGGAGCCAGACCCTCCTTCAGGACTCCAGCATTTTCTCTGCCAAGGCACTCCCTGAATGAACAGGACTTAAATAAGATTTGGCCATATGTTGATGACCACAGCATGGGCCTCTACTTGAGCAAGTCATCACAATCTCACATTACAAACAGTATGGAGGTGGTCAGTCAAGTCATGTTAGGGTATGATTCATCTCTTTCTCAAATAGGCACCAGCATACTCAGGTAGTAGGTAGAAGAACTGCACCTTAAATTCCAGTCATTCTGATAATGGAATCTTATGGTGAGAATCTAGACAGCTCACTCAGCTGTAGACATTTGTGTGCAGATAATGACAAGTGAAATGAACTCTACCCATTCAGGCAATAGCTCTGTTTGCCATGAAAAGGGAAGTTTATTATCTGTTTTCCAAGTGGTACAGAAACTTTTAGCATCACAGTAGCTTAGTATTGCATTGTTTAGCCATTGGCTCAGAGAGTGTTATCCCACTTCTCCTACTTGCATGCTTTTTTTCCCACCAAGTTCCCGTTTCAGACTCATCTAAGTGGTGGATGTGTAGCCCCCATGGAGTGAAAAGGTCTAGATGGAAACACATCATCCACAGAGTTTTGGAGGCAACTGCTATATGCACACATCACTATACCTCTCAATGTTTCCAACGCTTTCCAATATATGCTGGATTCAACATAAATCCATATCTTCTGCTTGATTCTTTCCTTCCTATAATTTTTTTTAAAATAATACAGTACAAGCATACTTGGAAGGTGGAGATTTTTTTTTGAGTTTTGAGACTAACATATGCATATAACACATTATTGCTAAGATTTGAAGAATTATTAGATTCTATCTGTTCTGGAATACATAATAGCTATGTCGAAGTAAGTTGCCAAAGAAAATGTTTATATTTTTATGACTTCTTTGTTGAACCTTGCAACAACCCATGAATTAAAAAAATGTCTATCACATCAAGATAACTTTCTACAAGTTTCATGCTACCTTTCCTAATAAAAGTACTGACTCCAGGCCAATACAAAGCACTGAAAGGGTGATTGACAAATAATAATATGATTATTTTGGCTCATCCTCTACAACAACAGCAGTCTCTGGTTAGAGTTAAGATCTAAGTTTCTAAGTTCCTAAAGAGGTACTCAATTAGCCTTCTCAGTACTCAGCAGTATTTAAACATTTTTGGCTTTGATGCTTCCTATGTAGACTTTGTTTTGGGTTTTCTGCTTTCGTATGAGATGGAAGAATTTTGCAGGTCTTGCAGCAGTGGTTTAGTTAGACATGATGAAGTTCAGGTCCGCAGCTGAAGTAAATTGCTTGATCTCAGGTATTGTCAAGGGTTCAGACTTATCAGAATGTGCCAATTCTTGATCCTGCTCGAATTTCAGGTTGTAGTACTTCTGTCAGCCCTTTCATGTCCAGTAAGCTCCTTTATAAATATATATTGGATTCGTAAAACATAGAATTACTTTCTCACTGATTCATCAGAACTCAGTGCTTCATTCTCATAAAGGTATTCCTTGCAAATATATACACAACAATTTTTATAGGATGTCATTTTAAAATAAAACTGGAGTTTGAGCAATGTTTCAAAGAATGAACTACCTCTTTACCCAGCAGCAGTGCTGTTGGAGAGACTGCAAAACCTTTTGGTAGTTCAAGTTTTTGGTAGTTCAGACTTTTGAAGATGAGGGAGGAAAATGTTTCTCAGTTAAGTCATGTAACATTCTGTCCTCTGTGAAGCACAATTAGTATAGTTTGACTTACATTTTATAATCATAAAATAACAGTTCTGAAATCTGCTCTAGCAAAATTCCCGTGGTTAGGCTGAAAGTATTCTATTGTCTCTGGCTTTTCTGAGCTAAGTGAAAGCAGCAGAAAGGATAATTTTAACACTGATTGTGCCATTGTGATGTGATCTGCTCCTCTGCAAACACTAAGAGGAAGCACTGTAACTGTTGAAATGGGCACCTGTGGAGATCAGTATATCCAGAGGAGTGAAAATACTTTCCGTTCTTCTTTAACACTTTTTATAAAAAGATTAGAAGGCAGTCTTTGTTCAAGGTTCCCTTGAAAAAAGAAATGTGTGCTGACATTAGGTTGCTATAAGAAATCAAGTAATTTGCACTCTTCTCTTTTTAATTGTAAAATCTGTATATTTCTTAGCCATACACATCACTGTAGTACAGAAATACTACATTCAGTTTAGAAAAAAATTAAGAAAAAAACCTTGAAATGTTTAAAATCTTCCACTGTTTATTTTAAATTCTTTTTTCAAAATGACTTTTGTTTCAAATACGCTTCTTTGAATTTTTTAAAATAATATTTAAAATCAATCCAAAGTTTTATTAACCAAATATTGAAAGATGGAGAAGTAATCTTAAGTCTCACCGTTTCCATGTGAAGAAATTAATTCCCTGATAATATTTATTTATTATAGATTTGGTTCAGTCAGCTGTAGTCTGATAAATGCCACTTTTAATTAATCTGCTTGTAAATTATAATTCTCATTTATACAACTAGCGGCATAAGAGGTCTCCATATGTGACCTTTAGGTACCTCATTGTGTAAAAGGAAAGAAAGATTTAAATGTGCACAGTGAAGAAGATGACAAAAACTTGCAGTGTGAAAAAATAAAATACAGGTTTTACAAAACAACTAAGTTTATTCTGAATTATGCTGTTAGCACTACTACATATGCTAATTTAAGTACCTCTGAAAAGAAACTGTGAGCGTTGGGATGACTAATGCCATGTCATACATGTTTTCCCATGGGGAGACATTATTTTCATTGCCCGTTCAGTCTTCAACATTTGCCTGTTCAAAGATCCAAATATTCACCTCTTAGTTTTAAAAATCTTTATTTCTGATTCATAAAATGCACATTGTTGCAAAAATTAAAACTAATCCGTCTTTCTGTTTCCCTCCTTAAAGATCATATGGGTTAGTACTTATGTGTTTACAATATGCTTTGCTGCTAACGTGGGACTATTGTATGGCGTCGTCTGCACTATATTAATTGTGATTTTCCGCTTTCCCAGGTGAGCAATGATTTATTTAAATGTTCTAGTAACACATTCACTATTATGTCTTCTTTCTGGCATGCTGCTTCACAGTTGGGATAGACGTACAGCATACAAAATTTCACAACGAAATTTCATTCTTTTAGTTGCAGAAAATTACAAGATAAGACGATTCAGAAGGAAAAGTGCGTTTACTGTAGGCTTAGGAACTCTAAAACATTTAATACTATGGTGTTTTTTCTGATTTCTCTTAGAATTACACATCTGTATAATTCATTAGGTGAAGGTAGCATAAGATAAACAGAAAAATCAATAAGAATTTTTTTTTCAGTTGTATATTTACTTGCTCTTTAAGGAGAAAGTACACCAGCAAGCCTTAGTAACTAAGCACCTTTATAGAATTCTGCATACTATGTTGCACAGGAGTTGATGGTTCACATTTGCATTGCTAATATGTATTAATGAAACCTATTCACACATCTATTCTAATGCCCAATATAAGTTCTATGTATGAATTAGAAAAACCAAGATGAAGAAACTAGAGCTAACACAAAGTCATATATTCTTTTGCATATATGACACTTGCTACTTTGTCTCACGAGTAAAGGAAAATATGAGCTGAGGTACATGATCATTTTGTCCTACAAAATTAATCCATGGCTCACCAGTCCTAGAAATGACTTGCTGCTTGCAGGCAGCTATTTGCAAGAAAATTGAATTCCACTGAAATTAAGCACTATATAGACAGTTTTAATCCTTGTTAACATTAATGGTGTTAACCATTTGTGCACAGTTCTGTTCTCACAGAATAAGTTGTAGAACCAGCATGAAAATAGCTCAAAATAGAAAAACTATTACAAATTATGAAAGATGTTTTCTGCTTGAATCAATCAGTACCTTTCTGGTAACTTTCTGCTACTCAGCAAACTAAAATATTGACAAATTCTGCTACTATTTATCTGCTAGATATCTGCTAGCTATTTAGCTAGAAAAATATCTGCTAGAAGAAAAGATTTCATGTTGTTTGCACCCTATGCCTGGATGTCTGAAGTCCTCCAACAGCAGAAAGAAAGGGATATCTGACACACGAGCACGATCCTCTGTTGTCTAATCTAACCTCAGTCTGAGCTTGCACTAATTAAACTAAATAAGATTCTTTCTAGTGATTTTAGTGGTCTTCAGCCATGTTTCACATGATTGTCCATGCGATCTAACAGCACTGAACAAGCTAAGAGCCTTAAAATCTGTACTGCGCAGATGAGGCTAGCAAAACAACATGTAGTAAGTCATCCAGTCATGGGCAAAAGTGTCAGCAAATGTGAAGCAAAAAAAATATGGTAGATGATTTATTGTGAAGTTTCTTTTCAGATGCCAGAATATCAGACATGGTACATGTTGTGTATCAGAATGTATTAAAACCAGCAGCAGCTACAGCTCCATTTAGGCAAAAGAACAGCTGACTTTTGCAAGCCTCATTTAGCCAATACCAGTACCTGCAGATACTTCTTGCACATTGATGCATTTATTAAATGTTTATATCCTGGTATTATTTCTGCTGCCTACTTTTAGGTGCAGAGCTCATGATGCTCATGTGCCTGCAGCACTACGATCTG